ACCATTTAAACTGGGTGTTCGGATTTATATGTCACTTAGTATATTTTCAGATGGACCCGCGACTCGGACTTTGTCAAAGTTACTTGGAATTATTTTGAGGCGGGACATGGAAATGGGGCGGCAGACGGTATCGGTGGCTTTATTAAGCGATCTGCTGACCAATTTGTTGCCATTGGGAAAGATATTTCTGATGCTTCTTCCTTCTATCAGCTTCTGAAAGACAGTAGCAAAGTGAAGATGTACCTTATACTTTATGAACACTTTGAAAACATGGCGAGAGAAATTCCAACAGAAATAGTTACTTTATATGAAAGTACATCAAGTTTTTACAGAAGTAATGGGATCGCTGAAGTATCGAGAGTTGAGCTGTTTTTGTCAGCGTGGTTTCTGTTTTTGCATGTGTCCAAAAACCTATTATCCGCCTAAAGAAACGATTGAACAATCAAATCCTGCCACGTTAGAAGATATTACTAATTTAATTGTTCAAAACATGAAATCAATTTACAACGCTCTATACAGTTCGGACTCTGAATCTAGTGATGATCAACCTGGATTGTCAAAAGAAAAAGATGATGATAACAAGTTAATTAAGAAGGAGAATATTCATCCCAGTAAGATCAAAGGAGTCGACGTTCTAGTAAGAATTTGCTCTTCTAAAAACGAATACATTTACCTTGGAAAAGCGATAAATGGAGTAGACGATGATGAAGAAGTAAAAATAGTATTCTTGAAGTCTGTTGACCATACCGGAAAAACATTTAAATTGTTCGAAAATGATATATCACAAGAACAGTATGACAGCTTGATCAGAATTGTTTCTGAACCTAAACAGATAATGAAGGACAAAAGGGTATATTACCAGTTCCCCACTCCTTTAGAAATATTTGAAAAATAAGATATCAGTTAAGTAATTTTAATTTAATCTCAGCTAGAGCATATATTTTTTTAAGTTTTGACGTCTAATAATTACGAAAAGAAAGTTTTGTGATTATATTCATAAATTAGTTATAAAAGTACAACTATGTTACGATTCCTACAACTCTGTTACCTTTATGTCCCTATTTTTAAAAGAGTAAAGTTAGATTTTTTATAAAAAGTTGGTACTTTGTTGTATATTTTATATGTCAGATATATACTACTTTTATTTACGAACAATAATTAAATTCTTGTATTTCATTCAATTTAAGCAATTAGAGAAAAAAAATAGTTTCATATAAAACACACAGAGTAACAGAGTATCCATAATTTTATTCATAAATAAGAAACAATACTGTGATTTTCCATGTCAAACATGAGAGTAAAGACTTGATTCACAAAGAAGAATACAAAAAGATATTTTTGTTGTTTAACTAATCAATAAATAAATGATAGTAACAGAGTTGTTATTTTTTGTATCCTGACCAAGTAAATCTTCTAATAATAAAAAAGAGTCGAATGATCGCGCCTAGCTTTGAAATTGAATTTTATAAGGTTATGTGCATAACATGTATATCTTACACCTGAATTAAACAAGATTTTTTTTTTTTTAGAATTTAGATCTATTGCCACGTTTTTCTGCAACCGATTTTAGAATGACTCATATACTAAATTTGGTTTTGAAGATACTAAAAAAAATGTATTTTATTCTTAAACTTCAACACCTCGTATCTTTTTAATGAAGCGCTCGAGAAAAAAATGTTACAAAGAAGACGCCTCTTAAAATGCAGTCCTGTGTATGATGTTTCATTTTTGGTCACGACTTGTGAATCACCCTGTATAACATTTCGTCGTCCATACCGCAGACAGGCGTATCTGACAAAAAATCAAATTCTAGTAAACGGATTCAAATCAACAATATATCTTCAATCCCGCAAAGTGGAGTAACTCTAAGTAGTTCGCTCATAAAGATATCAGCTTAAAACTAAACGTAGCGTCGTATCTCTCAGAAGTGAAATACAATACACCGCAAGTAGGCGTAAATGAAGATACGCCTACAGTCGGTGTCAGTTTTTTGCTACTCTCTCAGTAGTAACTAACATATTATGTCCTTTTGATTTGCAGAACTACAAAAAATCACAAATAAAAATATAATCATTTGACCTTTACCAGGCTATAGGTCCGCCATCAGTCTACGAGAACATCAACGTTTTTGTTCTTCACTACCTCATGAGGACACGCCATAAATGTTTTTGTTTAAAGTCATATTCTTATTTTTGTTCTATATTATCCTTGAGTTGCCTTGAGTATCATTTAAAAATGAGAATGAAGTGTATTTTTACTTAATCCGATTTTATTCCATATATGGAGTCAAAGACGTATCTTCAAACCGCTAGACTATTGCAATTGTCAAGGTTACCGCAAAGAGGCGTATCTAAAAAAAAAATATATTTGTTTAGCTGAGAATTAGATCTTCATTCTCTCTACGTACTGCTTAGAAGATGATGAACACAATTTTTAGCTATGTTTTTCGAAGAAATCATGATCACATTGTTTAAAGTAGGAAAGATATTATACAGGGTGTTTCAGTTTATTGTTGCATAACTTTAAGATTCGATAGAACTTTTGAAATTAATGCATAAAGTCTATATAAACATGGGTCGAAAAATGCGTGGCTTCCGAAATACAGGGTGTTTAAATTTACTTTCTAAAATAGTTTTTTTAAATATTTCGAACAATATTTGATGTATAACAGTGAAAATTGGTATACGAGGGTTTTTTGGTACGACAAAACGAACCATGGGCATAGTTTTACTGTAGCCGCTAGATGACGCTACTGTACCTGTAGTTTATTAAAATGACCGAACAATTTTTCTTAGCGCAATTTTTTGCTTTTTGAATAAAAAAACTGATTCTTCGCACTTTTCAAGATAAAAAAGCTCTCCTGTGAGTTTTCGTTATAGTTAGCCGTTTTTGAGATATTTCGATTTTTCAGGTTCGATGCATTTTTAATTATTTATGATAAAATAATATTTTTTTTACATTTTCGATTTGGGCATTACAAGTAATTAAGATGATCGTTTTGATTGTGTTTTTAAACACAGCAATACTTCCTAACTCCAAATAAACAAAAAAAAAACAGAATATTAATTTGTTTAATTTTCCAACTAAAATGCTATGGGATAGTTAGGACAAACATATAAAATCTAAAGTAGTTGCTCGAAATCTAAACCCAATTGTTCAATACACAATTCACATCTACGAATGATCGAACGTGGTATAGCATTATTCAAATAAAGCCTTATTTCATCACATGCATTCCTGATTCTGTCTATTAGCATATCTCTTGTGGTTACGGGAGTCTGGTACACTTTTTCTTTTAGAAATCCCCACACAAAGAAATCTAATAGATTTAGGTCAGGGGGTCGTGGAGGCCAGGCGACTGGTCCTCCACGGCCGATCCATCTTTCTGGATAATTTCCGTCCAGCCAGTTTCTAACTATTCTCGAATAATGAGCTGGACAACCATCAAGCTGGAACCAGGCCAATCTTCTTAAATCTAACATAACATCATCCCACATATTTGCATGTTCAGCCTTTAAAAATTCCAAGAAGGTCGCAGCATTTAACCTTGCAGGCAAAAGGTAGGGTCCAAATAGTCGATTACGGTACCAATCCACACGTTCACACTAAATTCATGCTGAAAATTTCTTTCCCGAACTGCATGCGGATTTTCATGCGACCAAATATGTTGATTATCAAAATTTACCACTCCACGTCTAGTGAAGCATGACTCATCGGTCCATAAAACGTTAAAAACCTTAAAAACTCCCTATTATTATCAGTTCTATCAAGAATCCACTGACAAAATGTGATTCTTCGTTCTCCGTCCCGTGGCTGTAGTCCTTGCACAGGTTGCAAATCGTAAGGACGTATATGGTCATTTCTAAGAACACGGTGAACATGGCTTGCTGAAATTCCCAAGGCACCAGAAACTCTCCTAACACTTGTGGTCGGATCACGCAGAATCATACGGGTAAACCTGCGCTGACGAACATTTATGTTTTGATCCCTTTGGAGATTTCCAAAACCATTTTCAATTATTTGGCGATGCACTCTTACAAATACTGAGCAAGTTGGATGTCGTCTGTTTGGAAATCTTCGTGAGTATTCTCTGGCTGCTTCTGCTGCGTTTCCAAATTACAAAGCCATACACAAAATGAATATCCGCTAACTCTTGATTGGAGAATAAAAATGGCATTTTTATAAAACTTAAAAAAAAACAGGTAAAAGAAACTAAATTTTGTGCAGTCACAATTGCAAAAAAACGTTTCAGGTTTAAACAGACAACAAAACTAACTGTCAACTAATTGACGTTTAACCTTATTCTGCTTTCAATTTCAGAAATATTTGCAGGCACAGCCTACTTCTAAAAATTATCGAGGTACTGACTTTTTAACGTTATTTTATCATAAATAATTAAAAATGCATCAAACCTTAAAAATCGAAATATCTCAAAAACGGCTAACTATAACGAAAATTCACAAGAGAGCTTTTTTATGTTGAAAAGTGCGAAGAATCAGTTTTTTTATTCAAAAAGCAAAAAGTTGCACTAAGAAAATTTTTTCGATCATTTTAATACACTACAGGTACAGTAGAGAGCGCCCTCTAGCGGCTACAGTAAAACTATGCTCATGGTTCGTTTTGTCGTACCAAAAAACCCTTGTATACCAATTTTCATTGTTATACATCAAATATTGTTCGAAATATTTAAAAAAACTATTTTAGAAAGTAAATTTAAACACCCTGTATTTCGGAAGCCACGCATTTTTCGACCCATGTTTATATAGACGTTATGCATTAATTTTAAAGGTTCTATCGAATCTTAAAGTTATGCAACAATAAACTGAAACACCCTGTAGAATCAAAGAACTGTCGATATTCATTTTGCTTCTACTGAAAATTTGTATAAAATCGGTTACGCCTGTTTGCAGTATGGACGACGATTTGGCCGACTGCTGGTAGTGTTCGGGTTACTGGCACATTCACCCTAAATTTTCAATCTCTTACTTATTGCGACCTACCAGTTCCATGATAATCGCTATCCTCCGAATACATAGTCATGGATCCCTCGAAAGCAATCGTATAGTTGTCTTTATTCGCTTGACAGGTGAGCATCATATCATGAAGGTCGCAATCCAAAGAATCCACGCTAAAGTTGACCTGAGGCATGACGGGTGCCTCTCGCACTGGGCTGAATAGTAACTCCGACTTGCAGATGGACATGGAGTTGGAGTTCACTGAGCCGCCGTGGGAAGAGTTGCTCTGTGGAGCGCTCAGGGAACTCTCCAGGTCGAACTTCTCCATTACGGAGCCTGACATGCTGGCGTAGCATTCTCCCTGGCGATTGTTCTGAAAATTGAGAAAAAACACAAATCAACATCTCGTGAAGAGGGCATTTGAAACGATTTATAGAGATATTTTGTTAGGTAAATTGAAGGCATATGGTATAACAGGAAATGTTTTAGATTTTTAGAAATTATTTGTCTAAAAGAATGCAAGTTACAAAAGTTAATGACACTATTTCATCAAAAATTGAAAATACGTTGGGTGTTCCACAGGGCAGTACCATGGGACCACTTCTTTTTATTTTATACATAAATGATTTACCTGTCATAGTAAAAAAATGCAAAATTCAGATTTTCGCCGATGACACTATGATTTATATAAGTACTAAAAATATTCAGTCTGGTATCTCTTATATAAATGAAGGCTTGAAACTTGTCTCAAAATGGTTAGCATCTAACAGACTAAAATTAAATACAAGTAAAACGAAGGCCTTGTTAATCGGAAAAAAACAATGTACAAATGTTCAACTGAATATTGATGCTGAAGATATTGAATTCGTAGAAAATTTTAAATACCTGGGGGTTTTTGTTGTTGATTAATTTTTGATATTCATTATGAAAAAGTCATAAATAAGATTAGTAGTGAAGTGGGATATTTATCGAGAGTTTTTGGATGTCTGAGTTCATATAGCAGAAAAATTATCTATAATACCATCATTCTTCCAAAATTTCTTGTACTGTTCGACTATTCTGTATTTAGCAAATAATTCCATTTTTGAAAAACTGCATATTTTACAAAATAAATGCATGAGAATATTACTAAATAAAGATAAATATACTCCAATTAGGCAAATGCTTAGCAAATTAAAATGGCTCAATGTAACAAACTTTATCAAATATCTTGTAATGATATTCATTTATAAAGTAAAAAATAATATATTTCCATCAAGTCTAACTAATTTAACATAATCAAATGTCGACCATCATTTACATAATACCAGAAATAAAGATGACTTCCATTTAATGACCAAAAAGTACAACATATGCTACAAATCTGTATTCCATCAAGGGTTGATTGAATATAATAAATTATACTCAGAGATAAATAACCAGAAAACTTTGACAAAATTTAAATTAAAATTGAGAAATCACTTGTTAAATCTACAATTATAGGTTGCCCAGCATTTACATCATACACCATATGGCTTGAATTTACTAGTTCTAAGTTGTTTACAATTATTCTGTTTATGTAGCCAAATGTGCTAAATAAATCTTTCTACTACTACTACTACTAGTAGCACAACACAAAAATGAATTTAGAAATCTGCTTTGACAGGTACAATACGTTAATCAATGATATACGAATGGACCTTGAAAGATCGAGATTTGTAGCAACGCAATTTTAAATGACTATCGACATATTTCAAGGGTAATAATTGGAGTCGACTATAAACTATAGTATATTTATTTTCAACCTCAATGTATTTGACATTTTTTGTAGTAAGCGATTTCGAAATAAATCCCATGTTGTCATTGCCAGTTTTTCTTCTCTGCAAGATGGCGTGTTCAAATTTTCAATTCGAGGTTTCTGCTTTCGACTTCCATCACCAACTTTGTTTTTTCATACAGAGGCTATATTGGAATTTTGTACATTTAAATACTACTAAGAATAAAAATATTACGTTAAGGCGGCTCCGGCGCAGTGAATTTCAAGCCATTTACAACGGTTCAGCTGCTTCGAAACTGACACACCATTTTTCAATATTTTTGAATGGAGTTCATAGCGTATGTTCAGAAGACAATTGTCCAGGGTGCTATCGGAGCACGTTTTAAAATTTTGTGTTTGCACAAGATTTATGGTGGGTAGGAATGTTTACTTACTTTTTTTGTTGTACTTCGCGATTTTTTTTTTAAAAACAGCCTAGTGGAAAGAATGAAAATGTGGCTCGATAGCACTCTGTAGGGTTTTGTTTTCAGCACACTGTAAAAATTTCATTCGAAAATATTAAAAGATGAAGCGTCAGTTTCAATGCGCACAAACCTCTACAAATCGGATTTTGCACGAGTTTTGTCTACAGTCTCGTGCTGAATGAAAATGTGGCTCGATAGCACTCTGTAGGGTTTTGTTTTCAGCACACTGTAAAAATTTCATTCGAAAATATTAAAAGATGAAGCGTCAGTTTCAATGCGCACAAACCTCTACAAATCGGATTTTGCACGAGTTTTGTCTACAGTCTCGTGCTGCCAGCCCAAGCCACGCCGCATTATGAACGGACTAGGACAGGACGTATTCAGATAACTTGGTGGCCCTATTTCATATAACATCGTGTATATAAGTCATTATCCAAATAGGTATTCATAATCGGGATCGCTGATACCAAGTAAATATTCGTAACTAAACTGAATCCAAATTCAAGATGAGATGTAAAACAGTTAGCGCGTGATCTCTCGGTAACAGGTGGGGACAACGCCTCTTATTGGTCAATTCGCCATTAAATTTCAAGCGGTCGCCTGGCGGAATAATGCGCGGGGCAGGGGCAGGGCAGGCAGAGTTGCACTCAGGCCACCGTCCGTCGCGTGTATCACTGCGTGCTTGTGTTTTCGTATTCATCTTGCTTGGTTGTTGCTGTTGTTGTTAAGTGTATTTGAGTAATCTGTTAAGTTTCTGTTTCTGTTAAATACTGTCATCTTTGTTTTACAACACGTTGGTAGTAGTCCATCATTCGGAGGTAGCCCTGAATGCGGCCCTGTACGCCGTCCTTGCTTTTGGCAATCACGCATCCATTCTATCTTGGGTGTAAATATACGTACACTATAGTCACGTAAATGTAACTTCTGAAGTTTTAACCATGCTGTCTCTCAGACCTTTCTTACACTGGCCAATAAATGAAACCCAAGATGGTGGATATATTGATTTCCTGACGTTTTCCTCCATCTTTTAAGCCGTTTTACTTCGCACGCCAGTGGCGCGAAAAATTTCGAAAATGAGACGTTATGTTTTTTGCGTCCTAAGTGACATCTACATCACGAAAAACTATATCAATCATTTCCGTCTGTCTACTAACCCTTTGCGCGTCTATAACTTGCAGATTACCGCTCGGATTTTTAAGAAATTTCCACACAAGGTTACTACTATGCCAAAGCTTTGTAGTTTCAGTCCAGTGGCGGCGGCGCTATAGACATAAAAAAGGAAAAAAATAACAATCAACAACCGCTGAAATTCCGTTTTTGACATTTCAGGGGTTCCTAATCATTGTCATAAAAAAATGTAGTGCTGAAAAAGTGGGGGTTGTTCGGAGAAGATGATATTAAATGTTGCATCTTTAATATGTGAAACACGATCTATCATTAAGAAGATCCTGATCCCTGTTATTGCAGGAAATTTAAGTGACGAAAGTCAGACGAATAATGTACTCACAATTTGGAAAAATCGGTACCAGCGTTATAGGTTTGACACCTAGAGCCAGCAGATCTGCAACTGCCAACAGTAGGGAAGAATAAATTCGGATATTTATAATGGTGATTATTATTGATAGATCGCCAATCGAAATCCGAATATGTTATTATGAAAATTTACTTCGCTACGCGCCCGCAGTCATCCTTAGCTTTTTTAAAATACCGCCGACGCGACGACCGTCTAAGACCAGTCCACTGACGTTACCTTTTCATCCCCCCGTTATCTCAGGAGATCCTCGTGAGCCTCGTTAATTAAATATGTGAAGTTTATCGTGACATAAATAAATGTATTATATTCATAACTAAATGCAGAATCAAAAATTGTGTTTGATTGCGCAACGTTTCAGTAGACAGTCCATAAGAAAAACAACGAAGGTGACGATGGAGATATTGCAGAGGAGAAAGAGTGGCAAAGCTAATATGAAATTTGTTCTAAAATCCCACTTTCAATAAAGCCAGGAACAAACAAAAAGTTTTCAATAAATCCGTTATATGAAACAAATGACTATAGTCGAAATCACGAAAGATGACGATTACGTCATCATTTTATTCTGTAGTAAAGACAAACGACAGCCATTTGTGAATATTTTTAAATGAAGGTTCAGATGTGTTAGACAGAGACAAACAAAATTTTATTGTCTAAACAAGTAGTATTGCTGAATTGCATGTATCAGATAAAGACAGACGATTTTTGCATGTTTCATGATCGATCACATTTGAAAGATGACAAGTGAGGTTATGTAATCTCAGCGTGTTGACAGTTAGTTGCAGGTTAGGTTGTTTTCGAACAATACTTTGGTCGTTGGTGTTCCTGTCTTGAGGTGTATTCTGTTGTGTGTATAACTGTTTTTTTCGAAACAAAAACTCCTCATAAAAATTATTATTAAGGTAGAAACTAAATAATTTCCAACATAAGAGCATCATTTAAGACTTTAATTCTAGTTTTCGCTATGAAAGGCAAAACTCTTAGCTCTCAATCACAGGGCTTGGTACTATCCTTGCTGAATTATTTTCAACAAGAAAAGGATAATGGAGGGCCTCTATTACCATTGTTAGCTGTCCAAGAGGTTTGTAATAGTTAGAAATATGGTCATATGATTGACAATTTATTCTATATTATTTTTCAGAGGGTGGCTCAGGCACTAAGTATCAGTTTGTCCACTATTACCAGAATACAGATTTTTTGTTTTGTTTCAGAGAAACATGTCACAATAGCAAATTTGAATAAAACGCTTAAAGAGAAAGAGCTTGCTTCTATCAGCAATAGCTCTTTACAAAGAGTGCTGCCCACCATAGGCTTTAAATATAAAAAAGATGGTAATAGAAGATTTCTAGTTGAGCAATCCAGTATTGCTTTACTTCGCACCAAATGTTTGAGAAGTTATAATGACTATGTGAACACTTCCTCGCATCAAATTGTTTTCATGGATGAAACATGGATATTTTCAAAAGGCAGTCCAAAAAAGTCTTGGCAAGATGAGTCAATAAAAAGTGTAAGGAGACCATTGGGCTTTCAAGGAAAGCGATTTATTGTTGTCCATGCAGGGAGCGAAAAAGGATTTGTTGATGGAGCAAGTCTGTTATTTTCCTCACAGTCTAAATCTGCAGATTACCATGGTGATATGAACGGCGAGACATTAAGTGGTTAAAAGAAAAACTCCTCTGCAACTTGGAAGAGCCATCAGTGATAATTATGGATAATGCATCCTATCATAGCATTTTATTGGAAATGACTCCAAACACAAGTTCTCCAAAAAAAGAGATTATTGACTGGCTGGTTAAAAATGAAATTGTGTTCCAACCAACATTAACTAAAGTGGAGTTATTGAATATAGTGAAAAGAAATCGTAAGGAAAAGAAGTATTTAATAGATGAAATCATAAGAAGTTATGGACATGAAGTTCTTCGTACCCCCCCATACCAGTGTGAATTTAATGCCATCGAGTTAATATGGGCCAATGCTAAGCAGTATTATGATAGACATATTGGAAGATGTGGTCATAGTGATGAAAATGTTTTAGCTATGTGGAATGAAGCTCTGTCACAAATTACACCAGAGGTTTGGAAAAAATGTGTGAAGCATACCCATGATGTAATTTTAGAGTGGTACAACAAAACTATTACTCGTGAAATAGAACCACTGATAATCTCATTTGATTCAGATAGCGATACTGAATCTGACAGTAGCGATTAATTTTTAATCTGAATTTGACCATAAGTAATGGAATAACATATTGAAATGTACAGTTTATTTTATTTGATATATGTTTTATATAATTTTGTAGCTTATGCTAAAATGAATAGTGGATGGCATGACATGAAATAGTACAAAAATATTTTCACTTTGGTATGCTTATTTGTGTTTGTATTTTTTTTTTATAATATAAAACCATGTTCTCAGAATCAATTCGTTTTAATGGAGCTGATACCAATGTATTATTATGATTTTGGTAAGAACTCTAGGTTCAAAATACGTACTATTATTGTGAACAGAGGAAATGCTGTTTTTTTTTTTAATAAATATGTAATTTTATTGCAAATAGAAGTCTTAAAATGTAAATTTGTGCACGGATAATGACAATTTAAAATCATGAAATAGAATAAATAAAAATAATCACTGAAATCAGCTAACTTCGATCACATGTTCCTGACATCGTAACCTTATCATCGACGTACGTCCGGTAATTATTTCGTTACAATTTATGGTATGACGTAATCGTCATCTTTCGTGATTTCGACTATAATATGAAATTTGTTCTAAAATCCCACTTTCCATAAAGCCAGGAACAAACAAAAATTTTTCAATAAATCCGTTATACAAAACAAATGACTATCTGATCATTTCAAGGCATACCTAGTAAATTTTAGGTTTTTTTAATATCTAAGGTTTTGCAATGTCAATGTATGACTAGTTATACATTTTTGGGATCAGAATCAAAACCTTTATTAATTTGCGCAAAAATCCAATATGGCGTCCGTAAAAAAATATAGTTGATATTGAAGGACAGTAGACGAAACATCATATTCAAATTCTGATTACGCTATGTTATAGAGGAGAAAAAGTGGCAAGGTTAATGTGCAATTTACTTTGGAATCCCGCTACGAATAAAGTCAGGAGGAAATTAAAACGATCTTGCGATACGCAACTTTGCCCCCATTTGTGCGACGTCGTATCTCTTACAGTTTCACACCCGGTATAAATCTGCAACCACGATAGAAAAAAAAAAATCCGAAGTAGCTGCATTAATTATACAACAAAAAAAGGATTGCATAGTTTTAGAGAAAACAAAAAACATGGTGAAACGACAGATCCTTAAACAAGTCGTTATCCGCATTCATCCGAACATATTAAGTCAGCACGTTTTTTTCTTTTTGCAAACAGGTAATGCCAATTTTCTCATTGCTTATGTATGAATGCAACACCTTGCTGCAATTATTCAATATCGGAAATTCTTCGATTGCAATTTAGGTGGGACGAAATCCTCCCGTTCGTTGGAGAAATTTTCCACGTTGAGCACAGGAATTCATCGAGGCATCTGTCTATTTAAGGTCCACCATTGGTTATCTGAATATAACCAACTAATAATATATTCCTGCGTCCAAAAAATTATTCCAAAGTAAAATGAGATACCGTAGCGTCATCTATGAGAACTTTTCACATTAAAATATCCCAAATAGTACAAAAGAGTATACATATCAGTAAGTCTAAGTGTAAAATGAATATTAATGAAAACATGGCGTCAAGTGATGACTTTGTACTTTAAACGCTACGCTGACATCAGTTCGTAAAAGATTATCACTGGACAACAAATTTTAGTTTTTTAATTGTATCTTGTGGGAAAAGTGCACTTCTTTGTTAATTTTGGGGCGCTGAATCCAAAAATGACAATGAAATAAAAAAATTAGTTGCGGTTTAGAAAAAAAACTCTTTATTTTTAAGGATATATTAAAAAAAGTAACAAGATTCATATACTTATAAGAATCACTATATGCGCTGTATTTTTGCTGTTCTTTTATGGATCGTTTCTGGAGCATCTCTACCAAGAGTCCAACAGTAGTCTACAAGCATGGAAGGATTCCACTTTCTCTGGTACCTTTTTTCCATTGTTGAAATATCCTGATGAAAACGTTCGCCGTGCTCATCACTTACGGCAATTGTCAGGAAAAAAGTCCAGGTGTGAGCGTAGGAAATGTATCTTAAGAGACATATTACAGCCCATCTTTTGATACGATAACAGCATATTTTTGACAAGGGTTTTATAGTTGTCAGCTTTTCTATTTCCCAAGAAATTATTGACCACCAGACGGAAATCATTCCAAGCAGTTTTTTCAATACCTGTTAAAGTGTTTTCAAACTGTGTATCTTTCAAAATATTTCGAATCTGTGGCCCAACAAAAATACCTTCTTTAACCTTTGCCTCACTTAGTCTTGGAAATTTCTGACGCAGGTATTGAAAAGCTGACCCATCTCTATCTAATGCCTTGACAAAGTTTTTCATTAGGCCCAACTTGATATGCAGTGGTGGTAATAAATTTTTTTTCGAATCTACTAATGGCATATGCTGTACATTTTTTTGACCTGGCTCTAGGAATTGACGAACAGGCCAGTTTTGTCTGGTGTAATGAAGTGCCTTTGCCCGGCTGTCCCATTCACACAAAAAACAGCAAAACTTTGTGTCGCCTAGCTGCAGCCCAAGTAAAAGTGCAACAACTTTCAAATCGCCATAAATATGCCATTGGTGCTCATCGTATTTTATGCATGTCAATAGGTACTTCATATTGTCATATGATTCTTTCATGTGAACTGCATACCCTACAGGAAGAGATGGTAAAATATTTCCAATATGCAATAACACTGCCTTTAAACTCAATGTTGAACTGTCTATAAACAATCTCCATTCTTCTGGGTTATAGTTTATATTTAAAGCCGCCAGTAAGCCGTTAATGTTACTGCAGAAAACCAAGTTATTTTCCATATTGAAAAATGGTTCTAAGTCTTTGTGGCGTTTACGAAAAACACATACCGAAACATCGTCTTCTAACAAGTTCCACTGCTGCAGTCTTGATCCAAGTAACTCTGCCATACATTTTGTAAGTTCTAAATCTCTTACAAGATCATTTAATTCTGACTGTGTTATTTTGTGCGGTTGGTGGCATGACGTGCTCGGTATAAAATCAGGATCTCTTGACGTTGATGGCATATCTTCTTCCTGACGAATCACTCGATCGCCATGATCTGATTCGTTTTCTGATTCGCAAGTGTAGGATTTTTGGGGTTTTTGGAATAGGATTTTCGTCACTGTGAGGCACAGGTCTTATCGCAGGTCGTATGTTTGGGTAGTTAATAACCGATTTTTTTTTCTTGGACATATCTGTGGCTTGTCCAACACAAGGTACCATGCAAAAGTAACAATCATTAATATGATTTGTAGGCTCTCTCCAAACCATTGGGACAGCAAAGCGCATAGACCGTTTTTTGCCATTTAACCAGCTCCACAGACTTGAAGCACATGTATTACAGCAGATGTGGGGTGCCCACTGTTTGTCTTGATCACCTAGTTTACAACCGAAATAAAGCTGATATGCCTTTGTTATTAGTGGACGCAAAAGTCACATCACCACACACGTAACAAAACTGATCTGGATTGTTTACACACTTTAGAGACATCTTCCATGAACGCTGTCAGTCAACTGAGGAAAAAATGGCTAATATAAAACAATATAATGTACACGTATGTATAACGTAACACAATCATGCCGATTACTTCATCTTTCCTTGCCGAATATAAAAATGTAGCACGTGCATTCTTGTGAATTACAGTATATTAACACTGTCACAGCAGGAACACATATAAAATTACCGTATCTCTAAAACTTGAACTAATATTGAAAAAATAAGTTTCATTCCGGTTTTAGCACATTAAAAATAGTAATATTTTGTTGATTTTATTTAGGATATTTTTTGGCTGTTGATGAGTGTTATGTTTGGTGCAATTTAGCCCTTTTGATGAAAAACATGTATAATAGAAAATTAAATGACCTTCCTCCTCCCTCTGAAAGAAATTCCTGTAGACGCACATAGTCTTTGCGATGACCAATCCCGCGTGACTGTCGATATTGGCCTTCATCACCATGCACAGTGCACACAGCCTACAGCAGTGTGGAAGCCACTGTCGACTGTGACGTAGACGATCATCCAACGTTGCATGCATTGACAGACGACTGTTAGAGATATTTTAAGGGTAAATGTACGGAGACATCTATGACATATGCCTAATATGTGCGTATAATTACTAGTGTTGGGGGCGTATAAATACTCCAACGTCATAAATTACAGATATACCCTCCCCCACCCCCTGCAACCCCTAACTACCCGTTTTTAACCCCTACATTTTTTTTCCGAAAAGATCAGGATCGTTTGAAACGTCAAAAACCAGAGTTTTAGCGTTTTTTTTTGTTTTTGGCCTTTTCTGCGTCGCCACTAGACCGATTTTCAAAAACTACAATGCTTTTGTGTCCTTGGCATAGTAGTAACGATGTGTAAAAATTTCAGCGAAATCTGAGCGGGACTTTTCAAGTTAAAGGCGGTTATAATATTAGCGGACTTACAGACACACCGACAGAAATGATATAGTTGTCGTCATAATTTTTTAGAATCCTTTCTATAAAACGCTGAAAGCAATAATAAGCTGTTCACTAATTTAAATAAGAAATAAGCCATTGTGTCGGTTTTACAATTTTCAAGTCCTAGTACATGCAATCTGGGGGTGTAGTCTAAGTCGTAATATGGGAACCTAGGTTTGTTCAAAACTTTGTAAAATTGGCTCTGAAGGCGCTATATTTTGAACACAAAGTTCGAGTCTAGTGAGGTAATTTTTTTTAGAAGATAGTGTTTTCTTTCTCTTTAATCTGAAATAATATAGTAATATTGTCATATAATGGGGTTTTGCCTTTGGTGGACAATAAACATAACACAAATAAGAAATAATGTGAATAAATTTCATGCTATACAGTGGTCCTAGAAAGTCATAATAGTTATCAATCTAAGTCGTGTACTTCAAATTATAGGCAAAAAAAGTCGGAAAAATCTGCACCCTCTTTTAGTTTCCATTACTACAAATTTCAATTTTTTTAGACGAGTGACGAACAGTGTCATTCTACGTAGTGACAGCAAGATACGAATATACAGGGTGTCCGCAAAGTTGGGGTTTTCCTTTACACGACGTGTAGATCTTGAAAACATAAGCAATTTTTCTTAGCACCATATACACCAATGTCTTAAGGGAACCGAGATAAAGGACTCTGCAACATCAAAAATATCTGAAT